TTTTCAAAAAATTACGGGCCGATCACATTGGAAGCAGTTATTCCGTACCACACCGTCACACAAAGAGAATGCAGCGGCCTTTCTTGAATTTCTCTTGGATTTTCATTGCACCAAATTCTAGAAAGGGTTTTCTTTCGAATAAAACAAGTTTCAATATCCTAGCCTTAATAGTTTTCGTTTTATTAGCAAATCAAAAGGGCCAGTTACTTCTGGGACACCCTATAGTTTGGAATGCTTATTTACATTGTTTGAGTCACAATTACGCTTCACCGACCTTTAGTGAAGCAGATATGATAGGCTTACCTTCGTCCCCCTGAGGTGGGCCTTGCACTTGGCTTTTTGTAGTGAAGGTGGCTTGCGCCGAATCTTCTTCACCCTCTCGCTCACTGCCACACAAACCCGGTAGCTAATACATATACCAGACTTTCGTAAGTACAACCCGGATCTCACCTGTTTAGGATTATCATAAAGTGATACTCACGTAAGCCCACAAAAAGCCAAGTTTGGCAAGCGTACTTTATCGTGCTACAGCAGCGACGCAGCGACATCAACTAATTGTCGGACCTCTTTCCTCTCCCCTCTCTGACCTCTCGACCTCTGAACACCCCTCCCCCCTTACTTACTGTTGATGGGAGGCCTATACTTTTGTCACCCTACCCTTCCTTTTATTATTGTTATTGGCTGATGAGGAATAATCGAAGACTACGTTCGCCAAACTTGAATTCTTGAAATTATGCCTAAGGTCGCGTTGAGAAGGAGCAAGCGCAGCTTGATTGTCAGTCACTGGCCGAGTTATCCCGTCAGTTGGCAACCGCCAAGCTTCGACTTGGCGTGTCTCGATAGGTCCAGGCGCTTCAGGTTTATTGTAGTTTTTGATGCAAGTGTATGGCATGAGGATGAATTACTCACCCGTCCTTTTTGCTCCCCTGCACTGGTCGACTGTCGAAGCCTGTAAATAGACGGACAGTGAACTTGGTTACAGCAGCTAACGAGGCTGAAAGGCCTGTGATGGACAGCCGACATTACTGTCTGACTTCCTTGTTCAATGCCTACTGCCTCAAAGTCATGCAACTCGACAGGGGGTGCTTTCCGAATCGCTGACCTGCAGATCCTTGGTCGACTTCCACTAACGTACACAGGCGCGTCCAGCTAGTTGCGGCTGCTTAAAGGCCACCTGAATATGCCACCCCTCAGTCAACGCAGAATGGGCTTCTTTAATCGACACTTCCTCTCGTAATGCAACACACCGCTTAGACACCACTCTAACTTGCTCCACAATCACATAAAAGCAGCTGCCATCGCTATTTTGCTTCCTCGCGGGCATGACTGGAAGCAGCCAAGACCAACCCTGACGCCACCAGTGGCCACTGCCGCCTACGACAGCAACTGGGAGTTCTGTGCACAATAAGTCACTGCCACAGGTGTCTTTTACGTAAAACTGGGGATTTGGCCTGAAGATTGTAGTGATGCGAGCACAAACACTGCTTGGATGCTAAAGGCCTACGCCTAGGGCGTGTTTCTGCCACACCCATGTACGGCACTTTTAACGCAGCCCGAAAACTGCGTGCCAGGAGCCGATCTGGCTAACATTTTGATGCAACACCTCTTCAGCGCAGTCCGTTGTAGCGGCTACTTTAGCGCATGCATTCGCATAAATAGATTACTTGGTTAGAAGCTGACTGCAGCCAGTCTACGTAACTAATGGTTAAAGACACTTCACGAAGAGCGGGAATCTCTATTCTGATTAGAAGGGAAGTTCCATGGAAAACGCTTGTCGACCATTTCAGTTGCAGTGGAGCCTCGAGTGACGAGCAGCCGCATCTAAGAGCACTTCAGGTAATGAGCGAGCCAGTAGCAGAACAGGTGTTTCCATTGATGAGCTTCAGTTAACAAAATGTCGGTGCATGTGTGCCTGTTTCTGTCGTTGAGTCTTGCTCCCAGGGCGCGGGTCTTCGGCTGCCT